TAAGAATTATAGAAACAATAATAATTAGACGCAATATGTTTGCGGAAAATGTACAATGGAAACACCCTGAATATGTAAGAAATGCGTTGAGCAATGATTTAAACATTCTTATTTTTTGTGTTTGTAATACATAAAAATTGGCAAAATACAATTTTGCTTAATTATAATAAAGTTTCTTTCTGTTTATTTCCTTCCTAACATCCATATTTCATGCATTCAATCAAGAAACATAAAGTCCGTTCATTTGACCGGCTATGGTAGAAATAGATTAAGTGTTGGTATGTTTAGTGTTAAAGAAAACCACCAAGAAATCATATGAAAAAGTTCTGAGATTTTGGAAGAACAAACTGGCTGTTAAAACAGGTAGTTTGTAGCTTGGGTAGTTTAAATTGGGTTACTTCAGAATCAAATCTCTAATTTTACAATTTTAATTTAATGTGGCTTTTCACTAAACTGCCCAAAGCCTTTCACAGATCAAAAATTTTGTGGCTTATCATTATAATGCCGAAGCCTTTCATAGATCATATATTGTGTGGCTTATCAATATGTTGTGTCAAACCTTTTATTGTACTGTTTCCCTGTATACTGTGTCAAGCCCCTTTTTAAACAAACATGGACAATTTCCCTGAACACATGTATAGTGTAAAGCACTTCATACATACGTTAAAACGCGTGGCTTATCACTATACAGTCTGAAGTTTTTTATGTATCGAAAAAGTATTCATAAGAAGTGAATATGTTATTACCTTTGCTTTTTGGGATGGTCTGTAATTCATATATATAGCTTTATTTTTGACATTTTCTCTGAGCTTCTTTTCGGCGTTGAATGCCGTGATTTGTTTGTCTTTGATTTCTTGTGGAAGTTTCGGATGTATGTCGAGAAATGTAAATTTCAAAACAAATTCTTTACCTTCTATGACCTGCAACAAATCATTTCATAGTTTTAGTAAAATAGTAAAAAGCAAAATTAAACAATTTGTTTTAGACTGGCAGAAAAATTAACCATAACTTGTTTGTTATACACTTTTCTGTATTATATATATATATATATCTATTACGCTTTGAAAGCCTAAACATTGTAAGTTCGTAGTGTGGCCGGTGCTTCTTGAAAAAGATACAGGAAAATACGGTAATCATAATCTAATTTTATTAACGTAAGGGCCAGAGCCCCAGAATGACAACATTACATGCTGGTGGATAGGTATAGAATAGCACATTTGACCTTGGAAAGAGGGTTTTTATATCTTTCTGGACAATATATTTAAATGTTAATAGGTCTCAGTAGCGTGGGACTGATCAATTTCCCAAGCTACTAAAGCCACATCATCACATTTTTTGAGATAATTAGATCAATATTATTACTTTCTTGTGGGAAAGGTTNNNNGTCAGAAATTTGCATATATAATGTATTCAGAACAAAACATGTTCTCGCATTTATTATCCACAATTATGGTATTTTAATATTTAATTTAAATTAAAGTATGCTACAATTAACGTTTTAATTTTTTCCCTTAACCAAGCGTGAGAACCGGAGTATTCCCTCGACCTATTTCATGGACCTATTGCGATTACTAATGTTTCCCTTTTTCTGCTGTGAGACGATATATATGAACGTGTTACTGTCCCTAGGATAAAACTCAAACACCCTGGTTTTTTAGAGTGCTGTTTGAATCTCTCCTAATCCTCTAAAGTGTGAAATATGGGGCGTATTCTAGCAACCTTGCCTGATTCCAGCGTGCTGGAATAGTCATCCATGGCTGTTATAGTATACATATAGTCAGAAATTTCCTAAAAAAAAACCATTTGGACAACATCCCAAATATTGTCACACAGGTACGTGCTTGCCATTTTGTATCCTTATAAAATTATTATCCAATCCGTGTCTGTCGAATATCAAAGGGTTCATGAGGTGAAAGAGAATTATTCGCGAAAATTTCATCGTATTGATCATACAAGGGGTGATCAAATGAAAAGGTACGAAACGACATGGTGGGTACGAATGTAGACTTTATTCAAAATATACACCATAGGCCTGAGCACAACGATCCCACTGATGAACAAGCTGCGGGATTCCTTGTTCCCTGAATTCCTGAAGCCGTGACGAGGCTTAGTCCATCACAGCATCCTTGAGTACGTCGTCCGAGTTGAAGAGCTTCCCTTTCAGGCGTTTTTTCAGTGGACCAAACACATGGAAATCGCAGGGCGACATGTCCGGACTGTAGAGCGGATGGTCCAACGTCTCCCACTTGGACTAGGCCAGTTCCATGTGTGTGACTCTGGAGACGTGTGGACGGGCGTTATCATGGAGCAGAACCACACCCTCCGTGAGCAGCCCCGGTTTTTTGTTCTTGATAGAGCTGCGTAGGCGTCAGAGTGTCTCACAGTACACATCGGAGTTGATGATTTTTCTGTGCTCGAGGAAATCGGATAACACCTCGCTGCTCCTCAATCGTCGAATTTTGCGAAGCGAACGCCATCCTGTCTTCATACGGACTGCCGCATCATTTGGACGCCGCTTTTGATAAGAGCCTCTGCTCTCTCCTGTGCGTGCGGGCTCCAGCGCATGCTCCGATCTCAGTCAGAGACTCCAATCGCATCCCAAGACCTCGCTACGTTCTCCCATAGCGGAATATGCAAATATTTAACTGTTACGTTTTTACGTCGTTTCGTACCTTTTCATTTGATCACCCCTTGTAATTATGTTTGAGAAGGTTTTGTTATTGCACATGTTCTTTGACTCTGGGAAATCGCTAAGTGCGTATTATACTTACTGCTTTAATTTATGGTGTCCTATATATAACATAATGTTTGTGAAGATTTTGACACTGCTCATGTTCTTTGGCATTAGTAAATTGCCTAAGTGCATATTCAACTTCATGCTTTAACTTATAGGGTCATAGTCATAACATTATGTTTGTAAAAGTTTTGTTACTACACATGCTCATGGCATTGCCTAAGTGCATGTTCAACTTACTGCTTCAAATTATAGGGCCCTAGTCGTAACATTATGATTGCGAAGGTTTCGTCACTGCTCATGTTGTTTGGCATTCCCTAAGTGCATATTTAAATTTGCTTTAACTTTTAGGGTCCTATTCATTACATAATGTTTGTGAAGATTTTGTCAGTGCTCATGTTCTTTTGCATAAGTAAATTGCCTAAGTGCATATTCAACTTACTGCCTTAACTTACAGGGTGCCAGTCGTAACATTATATTTCTGAAGATTTAGTCACTGCTCATGCTCGTTGGCAATAGTTAATTGTCTAAATGCATAGTTAACTTACTGCTTTAACTTTTGTTACTCTCAAGCTGTTGGGATCAATGCCAGAATATCTATATAGTGCTGATTTCCAGTTTTTCAAGAAGTTTACATCTGATGTAGCATTTTCAATGAGGTAGATACTGTCGTCATTAACTGCCCCTGTAAAATACGAATTAAAAGTTGGAAATATTAATACTGTTAGTAATAAAAAGAGAATTAAACGAAGGGTTAAGAAATTAAATGCGAGAGTTAAGTTCTTTATTGATCGGGGTTTGCTGTCCCCCGATCAATTAAGGTATTTGGTGAATTAACTTTTACTGTCACTTTGGCATTTGTAAGATTGGTGTTTTAGTGTTGTGACAGACAGTTATTAAAGCCATTTACTATATTATATTTCTTATTTTTTGATTTGTTTAAAAATTTGTTTCAATTTTTTTCATTTATTTTATATAAATTATTCTATTGCTTTTTACATTTTAATTTTTCATTTTATTTTCCAATGTTATTTTTTTAAATTTCTTTTTATGTATTTTTCATAATTTCCTTTTTATATCACTTTTGCATTTTATTTTAGTTTTTACTTTGTATTTTACTATTTTTTTATTTCATTTTATTTATTTTTATGTTTTGAAGATAAGTAGAAATGATATAGAGCGTTTTGTCACTAACTGTCTTTGGTTTGAAATTCTCAAACGTAAAAAAAAAAAAAAAAAACACGGTTCCCAGCAGATCACCGAAGTCAAGCATCACTGACTACGGTCAGTGTGCGGGTGGGTGACCACTTGGATTAGTCTGCGTAGGGACCGAGGGTGTGCGGTATTGGTCCTCGGTAAACTGTGCTACCGTAAAGTGTTCGACTTCATGCGCAGGTCGTCCGGCTACCGAAGTGGGGGTGCCATCCCCTC